AGGATGAGCTCTCAAGCTCATAAACAAGCGATGAACTCATCAGGTCATAAACACAAGATGAGCCCTTAAGCTCATAAACATATGATAAGCAACATAGGTCATTCCTGATCCATGTTAGGCAAGGTAGCCTTGGCTCAAGATTGGAGGACAACTGATAATACCAAAAATTCTCCAAGGTTAAGCTCAACCCAGAAGCAGCTCGGACTCCTAGCTCAGGTCTTTCAGCTTGAGCACATTATGACAACGACATCTCAAACCTTCCAGAAAGTCATATCACGCCTAGAGAATATAACCTCTTATTGCTAAAGATTCTTGGCACATGAGTCGTAACAACCACCGGAGGATTACATTAATTACGCAAGGATCTCTACTATTAAAAAAGGGTCATTGCTTACGAAAGGATCACAGTGGCTACCCAGGGATCACGCTGACTACGGGAAACTCCTACACACTATAAATAGGGACCAATCCCTCGCTTTAGAAAAGGGGAGAATATCAATAAATTGCACCATCAATTGCCTTGTAATCTTCTTCCCCAAAAGAGTAAGAGACTCTATTAGAGTGGACTAGCCAAACTTCCAAGTTGGTGAACCACTATAAATCTCCTATCTATCTATTTTAATAAATGATTGTTGTCTCTGTGATTGACTATTAATGGCTACGAACCTATGAGCCCAGCTATACAACCACGTAAATTACACCATTAGTAATATTGTAAGGTTAAAATTCATTGTCATGAGATATGGTTAGGAGGAACCATTTCTAACTTGTATTGTATCAGCTTTAAATTTTAACCTCCATTTTAACCTTTTCACATAAGCCAAAAATTTGACAATTTGGATGTTTAATCCAAATGCAACTTCTTGTAATCGACAATTTCTTGCACCTATCATTCGCGTATATGCTATATGTTTGCGCTAGAAAGTGAGCAACATTATTTTCACAAGGCCTTTCAAAAGATAAAAAAAAATGTCAATGTATAAGATTACTGGAAGTTTGGAGAGTTTCAAATGTATGCAGTCTTATTCGTGCTTACCTTTTTAAAAAGTGAATGATATGTTTGATGAGTGGGTTTTATACCTACGAATTGAGTATTTTCGGTTTGATGAAATTGCAAGTTTTTAATTATTTTATGTTTATTTTTATTTATTTTGTGTGTTTTGATATTATTTTGTAGGGAAGATAGTTTGAAAGGAATCACGATTAATTGGGAAAAAACAAGGTCAATTTGGAGCCAAAAAGTTGAATTTTTGGAAGAGGAGGCTAAAAGGCATTTTAGGCCTGAAAGGGGGGGGGGGGCGCCCAGCCCCAAAATTGGTGCCCCAATGCCAACTTACTGTCTAAAACAGTGCCCCTACACCATTTTGGGCGCCCCCGCTCTTGTGTTGGTCCGTGATGCAAATTTTACCTTATTTTTGACCCGAAATTGAAACCTAATGATACATATATGCTAGGGTTTGTGTGGGAAAAGTATATACTAACTTTTGAAGGCTGAGAACATTTGGAAATACCAAGGAATTGAAAGAAAATTGACAACAAGAATCGAAGAAATCGACATGAAGAAGATTGGTCTTGAAGGCTAGAGAATGATTGAAGATTGCACCTAAGTTTTCATTATTTTCGCTTACTTTTATTTCTTGATTTTCTAAGATGTTGTATAAGTTTAGAATGATATTTTTCAATTATGTTATGAACTAAATTTTCATTAAGATTGCAACGGAACCTATGTCTAGTTAAATTAATCTACTCTCATTTCTAGTTCTTATTGATCTTATATGAGTTGTTTGTCATATTTTGTGATTGATGTATGATTGTGTGGCCAACAATCAATTTGATAACCTAGATGAAATTGGAAGATGAATTCTAGGTTTAGATCTGAATATGATGACATGCGTCTGGTTAATTCTTCTTAGGATTGAATTGTAGGGTTTGTGTATAGAGTAGGAATATACCTGTATGTCATGTGTAACTTTTATGAGATTTTGTACTTAATGAATCTATTTCAACTTATTTTGCATAGGAATATAGTAATTTAATTGAGAGAGATATTTTTATCTTGCTATCGGACGAGGTTTGATAAATAATTTTGAGTTCTCAGTTAACAATTTATTTTGATCAATTAACTGGAAAGAGAGTTAGAAAGATTTATAAGAAGCATTAGGGGAAGTTGTAATCTTAAGTTCTTTTACCTGGTAAATTCAATCCTTGATTGTTAAGTTTAGATTTAGCTTAAATTAGTCATTTCATAGTTCAATTCCAATTGTTTAAATAAAATTGAATTGATATAAAGTTAGTACTTTGAAGTTATTAGCAATATTTTTCCGTGGGAACGATACTATACTTATCACTTTATTACTTATTGATCGTGTATACTTGCACGTAAATTGTCAATATCAAATTCGGACAACAATGTTGAATCTCGTGAAATATGTTAATGAAGTGGGGTCTTCTGGGAAGACATAATGTTCCATTTAGATAGAAGAAGAAATGGTTGAAAGCTTTAAAAAACTGTTGCAGCTCTGGACTTGGTGCAACTAATCTATTGTAATGCTTATCTTAATCAACCTCTTTTGATTAAATTAATGAATCCAATTACCTTCCCCAAGTAATCACTTGTATGAGCAAAGCTAATTTATGGAGCGCATGGACCTCTTGTGAGAAAAAAAAAACACCATTATTTCATGTGATAGACACCTAAGTTTAAGGCTTCGAATCTATGGCATAATGTCGCATGTTCTCACTTTCTTGGAATCCCCTTTTTCTGTTTAAAAGTGGCTTGATTCTTGCACCCCATTTTCTTATCCCTCGTGGAAGACCAATCGATCTCTTTCACTTGAGTTTAATTAATGCAAATTGCGTCTGTAATGTAAATTTTTTATGACTAACCAGCCGACCAGTTTGAGGCCGTCACGTGATGGATGTTGATCAGTTTGGAATCGTTCTAGTCATCCCTCCACCTACTGGTGTTACAACTGCTAGTAGTTGGAATGAAATTAAAATTCAAGTGTAAATGCAATGTTTACTTAGTAATGTCATTTGAAATGTATATTCTTCGTTCCTGAAGTATACCATTGGTGGCACGTCCTAATAGTTAGAATGAAATTCAAATTTACTTCTGAATAGTTGAAATGAAATTCAAATTCAAATGCAAATGCAATGTTTATTTAGTAATTTCCTTTTCTGTTTCATTTGAAATGGTATATTCTTCGTTCCATAAGTGTACTACTAATGACAATTGCTAGTATTTGAAATGAAATTCAAATTCAAATGTAAATGCAGTATTCACTTAGTAATTTCTTTTGAAAGGTATATTCTTTGCTCCTGAAGTGTACTATTGCTGGCTTCATAGTTTTTGGAATGAAATTTAAATTTATTTTCTAGCAGTCGGAATGAAATTCAAATTTACTTCTTAGTAGTTGAAATAAAATTCAAATTCTAATGTAAATTCGATGTTTATTTAGTAATTTCTTTTTTTTTTTTGTGTTTAATTTGAAATGGTATATTTTTCGTTCATGAAGTGTACCACTAGTGACAATTGCTAGTAGTTGGAATGAAATTAAAATTTAAATATAAATGCAATGTTTACTTAGTAATATCATTTGAAAGGTATGTTATTTGTTCCTGAAGTGTATCATTAGTGGCACGTTCTAGTAGTTGGAATGAAATTCAAATTTACTTCATAATAGTTGGAATGAAATTCAAATTCAAATGCAAATGCAAATGTGATGTTTATTTAGTAATTTCTTTTTGCATTTCATTTGAAAGGGTATATTCTCCGTTCCAAAAGTATACCACTAGTGACAATTGCTAGTTTTTGAAATAAAATTCAAATTCATATGTAAATGCAGTATTTACTTAGTAATTTCTTTTGAAAGGTATATTCTTTACTCCTGAAGTGTACCATTGGTGGCGTCATAGTAGTTGGAATGATATTTAAATTTACTTCCTAGCAGTTAGAATAAAATGCAAATTTACTTATTAGTAGTTGAAATGAAATTTAAATTCTAATATAAATTCAAATGTTTAATTTGAAATGGTATATTTTTCGTTCATGAAGTTACCACTAAGGATAATTGTTAGTAGTTGGAATGAAATTCAAATTTAAATATAAATGCAATGTTTACTTAGTAATGCCATTTGAAAGGTATATTCTTCCTTCCTAAAGTGTATCATTGATGGCACTTCCTAATAGTTGAAATGAAATTTAAATTCAAATGTAAATGCAATATTTAGTTAGTAATTTCTTTTTTGGTGTTTATTTGAAAAGGTATATTCTTCGATTCTAGAAGTGTACCACTAGTGACAATTGCTAGTAGTTGGAATAAAATTCAAATTTAAATTTAAATACAATGTTTACTTAATAATTTCATTTGAAAAGTATATTCTTTATTCCTGAAGTATAGTTGTGGTGGAGGCAATTACAGTGGTGGTTGCGACGACAGTTGTTGTTGTTGGCGGTGGTGATGATGATGGGTGGTTGGTGTGGGCTGATGGTGGTGGGTGGTGATGGTTGGCAATGGCGGTGGTGGTGGTTGCAGCGTTGGAACGATAATGGTAGTAGTAATAAATATAAAAATTGGATAATGATAAAGGTTTTTAAATAACCTTCTCTTTTTTTTTTGGATCATTTAAATAAACTCCTTCATTAAAGATATTTTTGTCAATGATTAATTTTATAGACTTTTGGCTTTAAAAGTGTTGAGGCTTGATTTAAAGCTAAAAAGGTTACTCCATGTGAGACTCCCACCAAATCTCCATTTCATTTTTTATGTTTCATTTGATAAGGTATACTCTTCATTCATGAAGAGTTCCACCGGTAGCAATTGCTAATAGTTGAAATGAAACTCAAATGTAAATACAATGTTTATTTAATAATTTCATTTTTTGTGTATTATTTAAAAGGTGAATTCTTTGTTCATAGAATGTACCACTCGACACTCACCTTCACAGAGAGAGAGAGAGAGAAAACAAGGACGAATTAAGAAGAAGCTCACTCTACAATGTCGATGCTTGAGGAACTTGCGAAATCGTTTGAGGAATTTGCTTACTCTTGCAATTCAGGTCTTAAGATTTGGCGGCTCGTTTCTGCTTGTGACCACATCGCCACTTTCATCGGTCACTTTGGATCCGATTTTACGTCAGTCCAAAGAGAATTTAGGAGTAAGGTGATAATTCTTTTCTTCACTAACTATTTGAAGTTGTTCTCCTTCATTCATGGATGGGTTTTTCTTCTCAATGGATCACTCTGATAAAAGTGTTACTATTGAGGAAAATTAGTAATTACTCATGCCTGAAGGCAACGATTTAAATTTTTTTTTTCTCAAAGCATAAATTCCTAAATTTCAAAAAATGATTTTTTTTTTAAATTTGATCACTTAATTCTTCACATGAAGAAATCTATGTCAAATCCAACAATCCAAATGAAAATAACATAGCTGGGTGTTTTAGATTTTGACAAAACACATTAATAAAGGCATCAAAAGAGAAGTTATATATGACGACAACTATACTTCATATTACTTCACACCCTAAGCACCAAAAGGATGGAGAAGAAATATTTGAACAAATCCTGAATCAGCAACCTGTTTTCTGTTTCTATTTTCAACCCATGAACAACCCATTTCCCCTTGTAGAGCATTCCCCTTATGGATAAAAAGCTTTGACCATTCCCACAATTTGTTTATTATAAAGAACCCCAGTCACTAAACTGCAGTCCCCCCCCCCCCCCCCGGGGCCCCCCCAAAAAAAAGGCCCCCTTTGAACCCTAGCAAAACTAGAAAATCAAAGAAAATCATTTGTACTTTATTATATAGATGTGACAATCAATCTCCTTAATCCCTGCCCAATTAAGGGATCCTCCAAATTTTGAAATACAATAAATCTCTTTAATCCCTACCCAATTAAGAGATCCTCCAAATTTTGAAATGGCCTTCCCGTTGACGTTCTTATCGGTTATAGCTGAAATTCTCTCTAGGAGATTTTCTTGTTTAAATTTACTTTTTAAATTCATATAATATTGTTTTTAAAATTTTCTAGGATGTACATTATGCAGTTGTTCGTCAATACCCAGTTTGCAATCACTGCTGACAAAGTGCCGTAGAATTCGTTGTCATTCCTAAAATAAGCTTTCTCTAATCTTCCACAACAGGGACAGAGCCAAAAAAAAATTTAGTGTGGGCACACTAACATGTTTTAATTTTTCTTCATCCCTCCATGGTATTTTATTATGCCTCAGCCCCCACTGCGGTTATAGGATGGTTCCCAGCAGAACTGTCAATACCACCTAGCACCAACCCTTAAAAAAATCAAATGCCTATTAAATTCAATGAAAATACTCAACTTTAGACCAAATAAAGATGTCAGGCATTTCCTCAAACATCTTTGTGAGCAACGTCGAATTTGTTGGACCAAAGATGATAACACCAAGTATTCCCAAAAACATTAAGACCAATCGTCAACACAATTATCATATTTTTCACATGGCAACCCCCAAATATATGATTAGTTCCTTAATACATATATAAGCGAAAATAGCAGTTTGCACCCCAAAAGATTAAACAATTCCCAATTTGCACTCTTAAAGATCAATTATTTTAAATTGGACCCTCAATTAACGTAATTAGAAGCAATGTAATCCTAACCATAACGTCTGTTGTCATTTTCATCAAATTAACAACCACGTGAAATGTACGCGATGACATTTGTTAGATTATGACCTTTTCCATTTTCACGTACGCCTCACGTGGTTGTTAATTTGATGAAAATTGCAACAGATGTTATGACTGGGATTACATTGCTATCAATTAATTTAATTGAGGATATAATTTAAAACAATTGACCTTTGAGGGTGCAAATTGAGAACTTTTTAATCTTCCAAGGTACAAACTACCATTTTCCTTATATTTAACAAAAAATTGTTTCATTTTCCTCCTAACTTACCACGACAATGATCTCATACCAAAAGTCTATGTACACAAAATCCTAATCGATGAAAAATGGAAAGTCATCAAACATTGTGTGTGCGCATGCACGTGTGAAATTAAAGTAATCAACAAAAATATCGACAACACAAGTAATTTGTTGACACGAAAATCCTTCAAGAAAAAAAAATTGTGGGGGACCACTTAGGGTTCATCAAGAGTCTAATCCAATGTTCTCAAAGTCAATTTACACAAACTTGAGACTTATGCCCCAACCACTTCTCATGTCTAGATGCTCTTTTCCATTATAAATCTCTCTTCCAGATATCACCCACTGAAGTCTTGAGTAGCTTCACTTGGATGTGCTCACCACAATTAACCGTGTAGCCCCCCCGAGCAATCTTCAAGGCTTCACACCCAAGACTTTTGGAATGCACACCCCAAAGTGGATTTTTTCTCTCACCAAGCAAGATCTTCTTCACTAATGTGTAAGTTGAATAGGAAGGATCAAGATGATTTGGATTTTAGATCTTAGGGTTGTAGGGTTTTTCAAAGCCCTATAGAAAGTATTACATCTTTTTTAGCTCGTCGAGACTTTTCCTAGGATAGCCATGTTTGAATACTACCAAACGGTAGTTAAGGTGATACTAATTAATGTTGGAAATTTTTTTTAATATGTAGTTATTAGTGAGTGGAGGAGTGGTTAGACTTGAGATCACATGGTATAATGTTATTGGAGTGAATATTAAAATAAACCAAACTTTCTAGAATTGAAAAAATTTGAGAGGAAAGACTTTACAAGCCTTCTCATTGTTTTCCATATCTATGCTATTATAGCAGTTATTTTTTCAGCAGAAGGCTTTTGCAAGTCTTCCCTACATCTTCCTTTAATTCATTGTATTTTTGAATCATTTAAATGAAAGTAAACTATTTTATCTAGTCACACTCTACAAAGTACAAGAAATAACCACTCATAAATTCCCTCTCACCTACCACCACTTATTTGGTTTTTTAAATCAGTTTTTAATATCCATTAATTCCTATAACTTATTTTCTAACTTCAAAAATAATAAGTTAAGAAAAGAAAATGGTGAAAAGGGGGGATTGGAATAAAAAAAAAAAAGAGAGAAGGAATTATAAGTCCAGTGTATCGTACGGGTGAAATGATAGCAGGGATGGAACTACTTGGAGACATCCCCCTCCCCCTCCCCCCCCTTCTCATATTTTAAAATTACCTATAGTCCACTTAGATTTTCACAAACTTTATATCTCCTTTTATGTTTTCAAAAAATTCTATATATATTCAGGATACTTTTATTTCATGTATTCAAAAAGTTTAATGATCTAACATTTTATAACCAAAAGGGAGATTTTAATCACACGGCAGAAGAAGCTTTCTTAGATGAATCTGATAACCAAAAGACCAAAAGAACAAAAAAAAAAGAAAAAGAAAAAGAAAAAAAAGAAAGGTGTTGCTAGATCAGGTTAGAAATGCAACTAATATCATTAATAAAGCCCAGACTTACATTGTGTGAAACTAATATTTGTGATAGTATGCAATACGTAATCATTACGTCATGTTATAATTGAAAGCATACGTAAACTGGGACATTGTTACAAATAAAGTGTTACAATGATAAGAGTCAATTTTTTTGGCTCGATTATCGAGTGCAACGGACAACACACTTGGTATCTCATTCAGTCATTCTTTCCTCCTACAAATGCAATTATACAATCTTATAGACCCCAAACTATGTACACGTTTTTTAGTCGTTTCAAAGAAGTTCATGGTGTGTGTATAAATTATAAAGGCAGAGGGATTGCATTAAAGGAGTCTAGGAAGTGAATGGATGCCTATGTAGAAAACTTAAATTCGAGAAATCATGCCGTTAATAACTGTCTTTATTATTTTGCTTAAAATATTCTTTATATAGCCATTATTGCATTAATGGCAATACGTTATTCTCCTTACAGTAAAGATGATTAATGGATGTATTGTAAGCTAAGAGCAATGTTACACAAATTTAAAAAATTAACTTTAAAATATGACTTGATAATTTTGTTGTTACATTTGTCATTGACTTCAATAGTAATGATTCATTAAGTCAAGTTTTTAAGTCACTTTTTAAAGTCTATTTAGCATTTATCTAAACTTAATGGGTGGTGAAAAGCAAATTAGATAGGTAGAGACTGATTAACCTGCAGAATAATTAAATGAAAATACATGGAATGATAATTTGTGTGGAAATGAAAGCATATGAAGGTTGATTAGAATGTTTAATTGGTATTGTCTATATGATTAAAAACATATATATTGATGTTTTTAATCATTTTTATAGGGATTTAATAATTGATCATTTTTTTTTTTTTCAGTTGATATTTATTTTACAGTAGTATAGATAAATGTTTGATTAATTGTGGTGTTTATTCATTGTTGTTGTTTTTGTGGTTGTAAGATTGGAGTGCTAAAGAATGCATCGGAGGCAGACCATACTCTTGTTTTTGTTGCTGACTTAATTGTTCAGGATAGGAAAACGAGAAGGCCACCGGAAAATGGTATAATTCGAGAGACCTTGTGAGAGTGAAGCGTTCAATCGCCATGCTCAGGGTAATATTTGAGCAAATTCTAAAGAATAGGTAACTTAGAAAATTTTCATTTTATATATCTATGTTTTGTGAATTCGTAGCAATAATAGGTACAAAATCATTTGATTTTAGGAACTCTGTGTTCTCAGGAGTCATGCCTGATTTAATATTTTAGGCCATAAACTCTGAACACCTCACTCACTAAATGGACTTTTCAAGGCAACGCCCAAAATAATTAACTAAAGGAAAGATGTGAGACAATAGCTGATTTTGGACCATTGTAAACCACTGAGGTATGCCTCTTGGTTTTATGCTCAGCTTGGGCGAGTTGTTTGCTGTGCAGTACAATAGCCCTCTCTTTTCTAGCTAACAATGCAGTAATTAGAATGGTATATTAGTTGTCTGTCGAAAAGAACCGAGAGATATGAGGACTACGCACTTTGCATATTCGGCATGAAAAATCTTCTAACATCAAAAGCTTTTTTCATCAATTTGAACGAAACCGAAACGTCAAGAGGTACAAATGGACCTTAATATTCAGCTAAGGCTACCATTACATATGCTAGTAACATTTTAATCATAAGAAGTTGTAGTTGCTAATAAATAAGTAAAAGTGACTTTTATAATCAGTAGGTCAACCACTTACCGTAGGTTCTTATATAATTCTTGGGGTTGCATTGTCATTTTGAGAAGCATAATTCAATGATATAGATCAAAATTTTCTTCCATAAATAATTTTCTAGTTTTCCGTGAACTTTATTCTTTCTTCCAGATATACTCTTGTTAGAATAATCTAACAAGTTTTAACAACACCTAGATTTCATTTGCAGGGAAGATTCCCTAACTGGTCCAGTTAACGTGGCATATGACAACATTCTTGCTCCATACCATAGCTATATTGCTAATAGATTTGCCCATCTGTTCACAATGGTGGAAGACCTTCCTACAATGGAAAAACTCTTGGAACAACTAGGGGAAACTTGTAAGTGGATACTGCACCATAACTTGCTGCCACAGTCGCTTGAATTGAATACATGTTGCAATATTTTGTAAGTTTTTATGTAATATAAACAGCCCACACCGGCGCCACATTTTTCTGTCGAGCAGAAATTGACTTCGTGCCACCAACCGTCAAAAATTATATATATGATTTTTCATGTTGCTTAGTTGGTTATTTGGTTGACATACCCAAACTACGAATGTTAAGTTGCGTGCTTAAAGCTGGACCTTATTAACTTGATTGTATGTAATATGTCTAATGAACAGTTACTTGCAAATCTATTTTCTACTCCTAAATTTGCTTGCACCAAAATACTGAATTCACATATATTAATGTTTGTAGTGTTTTTGGATAAGCTTGATTATGATACTATTTTTCAATATTCTAGTTTTTTTTTTTTCTTCTTCAGGGGACTCAGCAGTGTATCAGATGAGAAGGTATGTTCAGGCATCCAAATATGTTACAGACCACATTGAGAACTTATTTAACTCATATGGGTTAGCTGCAGTGCTCCAATTCGAAGAATGACCTGATGGTGGAGAACTTAACTCAACGTAATGCATGTAGTAACCTCATGATGTGCAAGGTTAAACTGTTTTTATCAGGTTTCTCTTTTGTTTGCAGAACTTGACTGTACAATGAACAGTTTGAACTTATGGAAAGGTTTCTGTTAGATAATTTGTAGCTTTTATGGACAGAGCAGGAGCCAGAATTCTGTTAGATAGATGGGCCAGAGAATATAAGTAAAAATCCATTTTAAGAGGGATAACATATGTTAATATTTAAGACTAAATTAAGATATGATATAGTAAAATTAGTTTTTATTTAGTCTAAACAAACATGAACAACAAATTCATTCAAATTTTCTTGGTACTTCTCAGCCGAATATATTCATCTATACTACTAATGAAAGTATATTATTAAGAAAAACTTTTGATTAACTACTTTAACCCTAAAATAATATATAAAGACAATAATATCCTTATTTAATTTAAAACTCATATTAATAAGACTAGATTGATGTTAAACTTTTAATTGGACAACTTGACTCTCACAATACTAACATTATTAATATGGAATTTATATATTAATAAAACTTCATTAATATTGCACATATTCAAGCCTTTCATATTCTTTCTTTTAAAAGATAAAAATGAATTGTTAAAATAATTAAATTTACTATTATTTATTTCTATCTCATTAATTGATGAAAAGTTTGTGAATTTTCAAATGAAATTGCATAAATACACTAGAGTCTTATTTAATATAAGATTTATTTCAATATAATTTGGATAATATTATCAAACCCTTACTTTTATTTTCTTCTCTTTTATGTTTTAGTTTTAATAAATTCACTTTAGTTATGTTTATTGGTAATACTAGAAAATATTTTATTTATATAGATTAGCAATGCTACGAATATGTTCAATATTACACTAAATTACTTATCACAACTTAACTTTTAAATTTTCTCAACCAATTGTTTATAATTAAATGACCACCATAATTTAAAATAGTTTATTTCTATTTTTTTCATAATTTAATAAGTGTATGTGATACTTTTTAGTTATATATACCCACATACTATGAAATATATTTATACCATTACTATGATGTTGCAAATAAAATTAATCTAAATAATTAACTTCATGTGATAATTTATAAACTTTAAGGGTAGAAATTTACAAGAAGGTAATTCACCAAACTTAAGAGCAAAAAAATAAAAAATAAAAACTAATATTCATTCGTTCTGCAAACATGTAGTGTTATGTCCATAACAAATTACCAAATTATATAATAGAAATATTCAAAAGGTTAGATTTATAAGTAGGTATTTGCCATTATATTTATTTAATTATTTCAAAA